TTCTTGCAGATATTATACGCAGGGGGACTGCTCATGAGACACACTCGCATACGCACCTCAGGGCGTACCATTTATTTTGCCCATGAGAGCAGTCCAGACTCCTTACATCATTTTATTTCTGCCGTTTCCCCCCTTTTCATCTGAGCTTCTGATTCATGACTTAAAAGTTAAAGGCAGGTGTCAGCTGAATTAGTGCTTCATGGATGAAAACAGACATGAAAAATTAATACTTTTTTTACAAGTCAGAGGGGCTTTTTAAAGACCTGCAGGCTGACTTCACTCAGTCCATAAACCCTGTCCTGTTAAGAGGATTTAGTAAGCATTAAAAAACATAAAGATATTGAGCTGATGAGATGAATACATTTTTGCAGGCAGTAGAATAATGGTGATGATGGACGTGCAAAAGCTGTTTAGCCATGTGTGAATTTGTGCGATATTTCATTAGCTGGCACATCATTTTAAAGGTTTTTTCCCCCTTAATTCTTCTCCTGCTTTGCTGTGATTAATGGCCTGGTTCTATCATGCGACTCCAGCATAGAAATAATTATGTTGTATGTTGTACTGCTGCTTGACATTTACCATTCTGTGTTAGGTAAATAAACTTTTCTCTAGAGTTTGTCTAGGCCAACCTTATAAAAACCTTCAAACTTGGTGCTATGTATTCATGGAGGTAGGTTTCATTTAAACCTGACTCTGATTTTAGTGCAACTATTTTTTCCTGACTCCACAGAGAAATAAAAAGTAGTAGTTGTTGGGGTTTTTTTAAGTTTGCTCCATTCTTTCCAGCTGGTAGCAGGATGCAGGATACAGATGGATAAGCTGCCACCCAAAAGCCACATCAGTAAATCTGCATCAGCGAGCTCCCCTGTGGTGCTTCAGACAGGATGTTAGTTAAATATAAGAGACTGTATTACACTACAGTTATCACAGACAGGATTTGGTGGCTGTAACAGGAAAATGTGTGGAATAGGACTTTAAAATCCTGGTTTACCACATCCTGCACACTGGAGTCCTGTGCTCATGCAGTGATTGGTGGGAATCTGCCACACGGTGAAAGGTGACAACCAGCTGCTGCTTGTAATGTTACTGGTCTTAGAAATAAAATAATAAATGTACTTAAACTGCCTGTAGGCACTAAAACTACTTAAACATTTATGGCTGCTGCATGTAACAATAGTTGCATGTTCTGGGAAGTGTTTCTGATTGTTTTTACGCATAGTGGGAAAGCTTCCCACGTCCTCCCCAGGGTACTTTGATTAGAAAGACTAGTCTGGCAAAAGGCTTTTAAATAAATTTACTTTGTGACTGAACACTGTCTTTGTTAAAGGTAACGTCTCTACTTTTTTTCCTTCAATGTTTGTCTAGTCTAAATCCAGCTCCATCAAGGCCAGGTCAGCAGGGGTCAATGCACAATCATGTGTTCATCCAATTGAGCACTATTGTTTATTCTGCTCTCAGCACAAAGCCTGTATTTTGCTGCTGCCTTTGCTCACTGAGCCCATAAAACCCTTTGTCCACAGGTGTGCAGGCGATATGTCTCTATATCCCATCTCATCCCGTGTCACCTTCAACATAGAGAGATAAGATCAAGTGCATGTTATTCTTCTTCTGTCATCATACATGGCCCGTTGCCGAGAATACTGAACAATAGCGAGGGGTATTTCTAAGAATTTAACCGAGTTGTTAAATGTACTCAAGTGACAGTTTTCGGGTCCACTTACAAACTAAGTAGTGCTTTTCTTTGTGACAGTGTTCATACATTTGCAGTAGGCTGTTCTCCGATATCTGTCACGAGGTGGAATCAAACATGGAATCAACAGAGCATTTATCTCAGCTGAATCCCAATCCGCCTTCCTCTTGTATATTTTCCTTTAGTTTCAGTCTTAATGGTCTCTCATCAGTCAGGCTCACTGGAAGTCTTCCTAGAAATATGTCAAGGGCAGACTTTTTTTTTGCTTTTAAATGGGAGGGGTGCACAGTTCATTTACACAGAAATTCAATGCTATTGGTGAGTGAACTTTTCAAGTTCTTGCGATGCTTTTGCATTGCTGTTTTTGTTGCATTTCGCATGCAGGCGCTTGGTATTTTCACAGTGGGCCCAAGACTGTCTGCCTTCTATGGATAGCAGTAGTGGGTATTAGGGTGGAGAACACATTCCTTACTAGGGCTGGAACACCTGATCATTTCCAGCCATTTGTCAGTTGATTGTTTAGTCTTTGACTTCTCTAATGAATGTCAGAAATACCCGTAACCCTATAAAACTACAAATTTGCAGTGCCATGTAAGGGACAAAAGGTACTTATTCCCTGCATTTCTAGGATGTTATGTGTCATATACAGTGGGGTAAAAAAGTATTTAGTCAGCCACCGATTGTGCAAGTTCCCCCACCTAAAATGATGACAGAGGTCAGTAATTTGCACCAGAGGTACACTTCAACTGTGAGAGACAGAATGTGAAAAAAAATCCATGAATCCACATGGTAGGATTTGTAAAGAATTTATTCGTAAATCAGGGTGGAAAATAAGTATTTGGTCAATAACAAAAATACAACTCAATACTTTGTAACATAACCTTTGTTGGCAATAACAGAGGTCAAACGTTTACTATAGGTCTTTACCAGGTTTGCACACACAGTAGCTGGTATTTTGGCCCATTCCTCCATGCAGATCTTCTCGAGAGCAGTGATGTTTTGGGGCTGTCGCCGAGCAACACTGGACTTTCAACTCCCGCCACAGATTTTCTATGGGGTTGAGGTCTGGAGACTGGCTAGGCCACTCCAGGACTTTCAAATGCTTCTTACGGAGCCACTCCTTTGTTGCCCGGGCGGTGTGTTTTGGATCATTGTCATGTTGGAAGACTCAGCCTCGTTTCATCTTCAAAGTTCTCACTGATGGAAGGAGGTTTTGGCTCAAAATCTCACGATACATGGCCCCATTCATTCTGTCCTTAACACGGATCAGTCGTCCTGTCCCCTTGGCAGAAAAACAGCCCCATAGCATGATGTTTCCACCCCCATGCTTCACAGTAGGTATGGTGTTCTTGGGATGCAACTCAGTATTCTTCTTCCTCCAAACACGACGAGTTGAGTTTATACCAAAAAGTTCTACTTTGGTTTCATCTGACCACATGACATTCTCCCAATCCTCTGCTGTATCATCCATGTGCTCTCTGGCAAACTTCAGACGGGCCTGGACATGCACTGGCTTCAGCAGCGGAACACGTCTGGCACTGCGGGATTTGATTCCCTGCCGTTGTAGTGTGTTACTGATGGTGACCTTTGTTACTTTGGTCCCAGCTCTCTGCAGGTCATTCACCAGGTCCCCCCGTGTGGTTCTGGGATCTTTGCTCACCGTTCTCATGATCATTTTGACCCCACGGGATGAGATCTTGCGTGGAGCCCCAGATCGAGGGAGATTATCAGTGGTCTTGTATGTCTTCCATTTTCTGATGATTGCTCCCACAGTTGATTTTTTCACACCAAGCTGCTTGCCTATTGTAGATTCACTCTTCCCAGTCTGGTGCAGGTCTACAATACTTTTCCTGGTGTCCTTCGAAAGCTCTTTGGTCTTGGCCATGGCGGAGTTTGGAGTCTGACTGTTTGAGGCTGTGGACAGGTGTCTTTTATACAGATGATGAGTTCAAACAGGTGCCATTCATACAGGTAACGAGTGGGGGACAGAAAAGCTTCTTACAGAAGACGTTACAGGTCTGTGAGAGCCAGAGATTTTCCTTGTTTGAGGTGACCAAATACTTATTTTCCACCCTGATTTACGAATAAATTCTTTACAAATCCTACCATGTGAATTCATGGATTTTTTTTTCACATTCTGTCTCTCACAGTTGAAGTGTACCTCTGGTGCAAATTACTGACCTCTGTCATCATTTTAAGTGGGGGAACTTGCACAGTCGGTGGCTGACTAAATACTTTTTTGCCCCACTGTATGTGCTATATAATATGTCCAACCAATAACTGGATAATGTATTAGTTATTTCTTGAACATTAATTACTTTACTGTTCCCATCAACAAGCCAAAGGTTGGATCAAATACCTCCAGTTTCTGCACCTGTGCATTTCAGGCCTTTGTCTCACATATTGTCTAAATCTCCCTAGAGTCATTCTTCACCACTCTGCATTGTAGCCTTGAAAGGGGATCGCCAAAGACAGCTAGTAGAAGCTCGTTTTAATTGGGTCACATTGCTAAGATGTAGAAATAAGTATCAGCTGTTTTTCAGCAGTCTCATATCTTCAAGTCTCATTTGAGCTTCTGCAAATTTAACAGGTTTTTGATTCACATAGCAAAGAAGCAATTTGCAAAATGTATTCAGAAACTGTTTATTAGTTCTTCACATTCTGAAATGTGCCTTTTAGTGAGTGTCTGTTAGACAGAGAGGAAGATGGTGAGCGTGTGGTTTAGGAATTGAGTTTTCTGAACCTCTCGAGAACATCATGCATTCTCGGGGGAGCTGTAAGCAGCTATATTTGGGCTTATTTTGCACACAACCACATGCCTGCAGGAATTTGTGTACAGTTTTTTAACTGTTTATATTGTACACATGGGTATATGTCTGATGTCTGATCTTTTTTTTTCTTTTTGCATATGCTCATGAATATAAAATCTATTTCCCACTGTGTATTTTTGCCTACATTTAAAGCACAAAATGTGTTTCTCCTTGTGGGTTGTTTTCATCCTTGTGAACTTAGCATTTATCCTTAGAAAAAAATTTCTTCCCCTAAGTTAGGACATGAGGTAATGTCTGAAAAATACAGAAAAATAGCCAAATGTGTTTTTCTACCTCATTAGTCTTTGATTTTAAAGTACATTAACTTGGATCTGGGATCCTCTTATGTGCCGCCCAATCACGGCCAAAGCCCAGGAACTTCTGTTACATCACAGTCGAACACCTATGCATCCATCTCATCCCAGCAAGAGCAAAATTTATCCAGATATGCAATTAGTCTAACATAATAAGACTGTTCATCTGGTTTGTTTTCCCTCCAGCGGCACTGCCTTTCATCATTATGACCATTGTCTCCAAGCCATACCAAAGAGGCATTTACTGCAATGATGACAGCATCAAGTATCCCCTAAAACTAGACACCATCACCCCCGGTATGCTGGCAGCTATCACCATCTGCTGTACTCTCGTCATTGTAAGTGTAACAGGACGTTTCATGACATCGTTCTAGCTGACTTTACTCATTTGACACGATTCTATGGATGCATTTTGCCAGAACTTGACAATAAGTTGATATAGAAGTAGGAGAAGACTTTTTATGTAATGGAGGAAAAATGTGGGGGGAAAAAACCCAAGAAATAATCTTTGATTTTTTTTATTCTCTCTCCTCAGATCTCATCTGGAGAGGCTTATCTGGTCTACAGACAGAGGATTCAGTCTAACACACAGTTCAATCAGTATATAGCTGCACTCTACAAGGTAGTAGGCACCTTTCTGTTTGGAGGAGCTGTCAGCCAGTCACTTACTGACCTTGCAAAGTACACTATTGGGCGTCCAAGGCCAAACTTCATGGCAGTATGTGCACCGAAAGTCTGCACAGGATACATGCCAGTGATCAACTGCACTGGGACTCCTGAGGATGTCACAGAGTCTAGGTAGGAGGGAAAGAACTTCCATCAGTTTCTTTATAGAGGAAACAAGAACCTCACACAAATTACACACAAAAAAATCAGACATTGTCTGTGAAAAGGAAGTCTAACACATTTTACATGATATTGATGCTACAAAATGCTACTGTACAAATATCCTGTGTAAAGCAGTTACATCTGAATTGTGTTTTTTCTCTAGATTGTCCTTCTATTCTGGTCACTCCTCTTTTAGCATGTACTGCATGCTTTTCCTAGCGGTAAGTACAGAACGTGAGCTTCAAGAAATAAAACCCATCTCTCTGTACAGTTAAAAAAAATTAAACCTCTGGGCTCCTTTAAGAGCATTCTCATGCATTTAGATCTGTACTCAGAGACATAAAAGGGAAAAGTGGAGTCCAGGAGAAGAATGTAGTGAGACAAATGATCTGGAATAGTCTGCAACCCTTTTCCCAGCAATGATGAAGGCAAAGCACGAGCTCTGACCTGTCTTCCAGGCCTATTCAGCTCATTCCACTTGGCCCCATCTCTTTGTTTTAAAAGGCACCGCAGCTAGACAGCAAGCTCCAAGCAAAGCAGCTTTTATTTTTTTCAGTTCCAAGAAAAGAGCGTCCAGCTAGTGTCCATTCCTGTCTTTGGCGCTCTCTGTTTTGCCAGCCATATGCTGCAAACAAACATAGAGCTCAGCTGTGACATCCAGCCCTTGTCCTCTGGGCTGCCTTGAAAGAGTATGCTATAGTGCTGAATGCAGCGTAGCTGTACGGCAGGCGGACGGTGGTGCGATGCCAATTTTTACACCTTTAACAGCAGCCGAGCAGAGTTTTTAACTATTGCCAGATTCATATTTTGTTGGCATCGGTGCTTTCCAGCATAAATGGGGTTTGAGTCTGTGGAGAACATAAATTAGATTTGTACTCAGCACCTTTTTAAAGTTAAATCTAATTTGAGAGGTGCCAGCTACTGTTTTCACTGCAAACTCAAGCACCAAAGTCATAGCCTGCTTTTTTAAAGGATCCAACCAGTATCTTGATAGTGTTGCAGTTTAAGCACATTTAGAAATGGCACAAATTTCCCTACTTTACTGTTTTGTTAGCATATCACATTGCAGTTATGATGTATGATGCAGTGTTGCCATAATATAACTGGTGACTATGCTGTTATGTATTGGTGTGATAACCTTTTTAGGTTCCAGCAGTGCTAATAGCATCATTGCTCTCTTTTTCCTCTCTGTTTCCACCTCCAGCTTTACGTGCAGGCGAGATTTGTGGCAAAGTGGGCCAGACTTCTCCGGCCCACCATCCAGTTCTTCCTGGTGGCCTTCGCGGTTTATGTGGGTTACACCCGAGTCTCTGATTACAAGCACCATTGGAGCGATGTGCTGGTGGGGCTGCTGCAGGGAGCGCTTGTTGCTTTGCTAAATGTGAGTCTCCACGGCAACGTCCTACAAGATAAATGCTACAAAAATTAGTGATTTTATAGTAACACAGCCATTACTTTTAAAAGCTTACGTCTGGGAACTTTTGCCAGTTTTTCTTTTTACTTCTCCTCTTGAGAATTTATGATTACATGGAGACTTTTTTTCATTACATTTTTTGCACCACCAGCTTCCTACCTGATGACATATTAACTTTGCATCTTAGTCCTGTGGTTTCCAAGTGCTGGAAAGGCAAACACGGGTGTGACCGTCTAAATCATAAAAATGACATTTAGTGGAAACGTTAGCAGAATAGCTCAAAACATATATTTTATTCCCAAAGTTAAAAGCCATGTAGAGAGGAAGCATGAGTAGAGTGAAGTGTGACAGCAGCATGGTGTGTCTTGATACAAACCCACATACTCACAGCTGGCAGGTAACAAGTCCATTCACCTGCTTCATCCAGCTGGGCTTCTTTATTGTTTGGCCACTTCCCTGTTATGATTGAACCACTGTCAGCTCTGCCTTGTGGAAATTCTGGAGTGGTAGAGCGTGTGTTTGTGTGTCTGTGTGTGTCCATGCATGATTAATTGGGATGTGAGCCTGCACCTTTGGCCTTCACAGTGCTGCGCGCAATTAGAGACCCTCCTGGGCATAGGATTTTATGGTCTGCAGGGGTTGTGCCTGCTCTCTGTGTGTTCCTCTCTGATGTGTGTGAGAGTCTGCGTTAGTGTGTCATTTAACAGCTGTTCACAGTCCTCTCCAGACATGTGTAATCACAGTTTCCAGCTCTGCCCGACCTCCTCAGTGTCCCTTACTTGTTTATACTCCAATCTCTGTAGCACAAATAATTTTCTAAGTGACCTGCAATCTTGTCTGGCTTCCTTTTTTTGTCCCCTCTTAATCTCTCCTTTCCTCTCCTCTGCAGGTGCACTTTGTGTCGGATTTCTTCGAGAAGTGTCCTAAACGTTCCAAGAGGCCGGGCACTCGCGATGGTGAGGAACCAGAAAGGAAACCCAGCGTGCAGATTGCAGACTCTGAGAACAGCAACCATTACAACTACCACAGTCGTGGCACTGTGTGATAGTGGACTTAGGAACAAAGACTGCAAACCTGCAGACCACAAACCTGTGTGATAGCGTCACATCCAGGGGCTTCAACCTGGTTAGATCAGGTAATAACCTGGGTTATATGCAATCCTGACTCTTCAGGATGCCTTCTGTCCTGGAACTGTGTCAAATTTTAATGTTTTGGTAAGTTTTGCAATCGGCCCTTTGTATTTGTGTTTTAAAAAAGAAAGGAAAAGCTAGACTTCTGGCCTGTAACTTTCAACCTCTTTTCTCTGCATCAACCACTCACTTTCCACCTGCTCCACTGGACTGAGGGATGCAGCCCATCCCTAGGCACCTGAGACACAACCATGACACTTTTCTCCTGTAAGAGAGAAAGAAGCACATTTTCAAGCTATCATTATTAACGGTAAAGCAAAAAAAGCTGCATTAACTGAAACATCACAAACCAAATGCAACATGGGAAACATTGTTACCTGTGTTAGCAATGCAGGTTTCAATAGCTGTAAGCTTCCAGTGTCTTTTTCCAGCACACTGACAAAATAATGTCAGGTAAAAGTCTCTCTGCATTTGGGTTGATACACATTCTACTTTCTTTACTCATTACTTGCAAATTAGGGTTGTTATTATTATGCAGTATGCATGTTATCTGTTCCAGAATGGATCAGTGACAGCACCTAGATTTCAGTTATACAGAGCGAATGCAGTGATAACCTAAAAGTGCCTGAAAAGTGCCAAAAACTGCACCAGAATCTGGGCACGGTTTCAGAATTCAAAGCAGCTATTTCACTTCCAGTGAGTTCTTTAATTTTAATTAAAACTACACCGATTAATGGAGCTTTAACATTAGAGTGTATTTTTTGATTTGTGAAAGTAGAAAACCAAATTTGTCTAGAATAATTGTAACGAGAAGAATGTTCAGGCAGGAATGTTTCTAAGTGTTGGTGGATTCATGTCATTTTATTGGACCTACAGTAGAAGAATACTGAATTTCTGACTGTCGGTTAACTTATTTTCCTATATAATGCCATCCTGTTGACAGCATGTCTCAAAAGCTAAAATACAGGTTTTTTCCTGGCAGTCGACCAAATCGTGGAGTCCGTGTCACCTCGTTCAACAGAAATCTATGGATCTTGCTGCCTGTTTGATAAATACATTTTTAAAATGCTTGAGTAAATATTACCCGAATTAACAATGTTGTTATAACTTTTTATTACATTGCTGATTTTGTGGTGGTTTTTCTTTGGCTCTGGCGAAAATCTTATTGGCATGTGGCCCTAAAAACTCCTGAAACGTTAGCTATAGACCATCCAGAGCTGCTTACATGAGCTGTAGAGCCGGTTAACCAACATGGGAAACAAGAACATCCAGTAATGTTTCATAACTGCCGTACAAACAGATCTGTGTCTCTGCTAGAACAAACATTTTGTTCTTAAAGTGCTAGACAGGTTTACCAGCTGACAACACACTAATTAGATTAGTGCTCATTCATGTTGGCAGACTTCACTAACTGTCATGTGATATCACTGATTTCATTACGTTTAGCATGAAACTGAGCTAAGGTGAGGACACATCGAATCTTCAGCTTTTAGGCTCATGTCCAGACTGGAAAGTTTCTGAAATGTAAACATGTAATTGTGGATTAGATTAATGATTTGTTTGATCACCTATGTGAAATGGACTGCAGTAGCAGACACCATTGATGCCTGTAGCTTTTATTTCTGCTGGACTTGATGTGTCATACCACTACTATACAATCAATCAAATATTAAGAAACGTTGCCTCTATCTTGTGTCCCTTTTCCACTTTTTTTTCTAATTTTTTGTTAGAAAAAAAAATTGTTTAGCAAATAATAATCAAAGATGGACGAGACAGCCATTTTGAAAGTGGTTAATAAGTTATTTTGAATATAAAATGTTCTTTATGTACTTTTATAAGGTTGGAAGTGCCAGCTCTAAGGTTTTTTGTGCAATCACCCCAGCTTGCCACTATGAGCCACAAATACTGTATCCATGAATGCTATAAGACATGTTTTTAAGTTTTGTGAAGTACGTGTGTGTTTATACACCTATATTTGAAATAAATAACAGACAACAACAAAAAGAATGATTAATATATAAATTGTATGCTTTTATTTCAAATGTAGGGATGTTTTAGTCTTACCTGTACAGTGTGCTTTGGCCCGGGATTTCTCAGACTGGTGCCTGTTGGATTTGCTACACAAACAAATCCAATTCCAGGTCCAAACGGATGCCAGATGCCTTGGCAGGGCTCTTAAATGGCTGCTGTAATGATGAAGAGTTACATACCCAGCTGTGTATTTGAAGCTTGTAACACTGCTCTGGTTCCACTTCAAACATTGGTCCATGTTCCTTTTCCCCTTCCTGTGCTGATGAATGGTGTGCATAAGGTCTCATGTGTAGATCTTGTACAGTGTATAAACAAGCACAGGGATGATGGACAATAGATCAGACAGACCACAAACCTGATAGGCTGATGGACTTGGTGAGAAAAGAACACAGAGGGAATCTTAACTGGCAGTGACTGTGAGGGCCCCAAAGCTGTGCTGTAGTGGGGGTGGGGGTGGGGTATCCTATGGCAAACCTTGGTCCACAGGGATTTCCACACATTTAAAGTGCACATTTACAACAAGAAGCATCTGGAAGTGGTTGCACAGATGTGCAATGCTCTGCTTGTGCTTGCTACTTATATCTAAAGCATGTGTATATAACTCAACCTGACGAATGGCAGAAAATGAGGATGAGGGTGTAGAGGTATCATGGTGTTCGACTCCCCTCAAGCTTTTTGGAAACTAAAGTTCTCAGCTGGCGATAAGTCTCCATGTGTATGCTTTATTGGTTTAATACTTTAGATTTGATACTTCTGTTTATATATCGACTTGTGCCTGTGGTTCATGTTGTGTTTGCTTGTGTGTAACCTATAGATTATGTCTATAGTCTTTAAAGCAGCAAATTTTAAATAAAGTTATAATTTACACTTCAAATGTATTGTTGGAATGTATCTCTTTAGCATGACTGATGTTGCAATACAAGCAGAGCTGGCTATGAAAAGCGTTAACAATAAGATTTGAAGCTTCATAGATTTCATATATAATATAGATATTGCCATGCTTTATAAAGGCATTACTTCAGGTTTAGGTTGCTGAAGAGAGTTATGTGAAAGGAGCTTGCAAAGAAAAGCGTCTGGACTTCTTTAAGTTGCTTGAAGCTGTCCGAGAAGCTTCTTCAGTTCTAAGGTCAAATGGTGGAGAGTCCCAGATATAAACCTAGTGGGAGAAACCCCCCACAGAGGGACAAAAGGACCCCCTGATGATCCTCTAATTGCCTGAGCCAAGGTGTGAAACTGGGTGTGGGTCCCAATCAGCCAGCAAGAGAGTTATGTGAAAGAATCACAGGGTCACATAAAGGTACTGAGCCATAATTCTAGCTCTAGATACTGTTAATATTTCACGTGTTCTCAGTATTATATAGGCCAGTTTTGACTCAAGAATTACTAATAATGATTGTGTGTAATTTAATCTTAAATTCGAGATCTATTTGAAATATTAGATATTGAAATGTCAGTCCCTCTGACTTTAGTAATGATTGATCCTTATTTAAAGTTTCAGAGACAAGAGATGGCATCTATCATTAAATTTCCCAAACCAATGCAGTTTTATTTATATAGCATCAAATCACAACAACGGTTGCCACGTGCTTTATATTGTAAGGACCCTACCATAATAGAGAGAAAACCCCAATTAACCAAACAATGAGCACTTGTTGACAGTGGGAAGGAAAAACTAAATTTTAACAGAAAGAAACTTTTTCTGCCAGAGGTTTGACGGCGTGACAAAAGACACATTGTGAAAAAGAGATTAATAATAGTAATTAAATGCAAAGTGGTGTATAAATACATAGTGAGGGAAGAAGAAGCCCTCAGTGCATCAGGGGAAACCCTCAGCAGCCAAGACTTATTGCAGCATAACTCGGGGAGGATTCAGGGCCACCTGATGCTGCGAATAAGCTGCATCAGCTGTAATGTTTGTTTTTTGTAAAGCACTTTTTAAATGAGAATGAGTTCACTGCGTCGACAGGCTGGAGTCAAAGACGGATTTTTCCTTCTCTGGCTGAGTTTACTGAGCAGCAGCGCTATTTTATACAATAAAATAATCTCTTTCCCCAGAAACATCCAAACAGTTTACAACACAGCAGGTTTTTAACTCACAGACTGGATTATTTTATATTAGAAGTGAGGAGAAGAAAATGGACAACCTGTTATGCTGTTAACTGTTTGGATGGGATTTTAAATACCTTCATATAATATACTCAGGTGCCTTTAAACCCCTCTGGTTTTATCTCAGCCTGGTTCTAATTTATTTTTAGATTATGTATAGTGCTTGCAGGGGCAGATCTCATGTCTGCGTTAGGGCACCCTCTAACCTCTGTATGACCTCTGTTCCACGTGTGCACCACGTAAGATTGGTCCTTTGGTGTTTTACTATTTCATATTTTCAAATGACAGCAGGTACCTTTCTCTGCAGAAACATGGGAAAATGTGGTTGTAATACAAATATTTCTTTTTGACAGTGTCAAGGTTTAGTATAATCTCTGTCACCACTGTCCCATAAACAAATACACACAGATAGGGCATGTAGTGGTTCACGGTTTCAAGATTCCCTAAACCACAATTTTCCTTGATTTGAAATGTGAACAGGAGCAGCCTCAATATACACAAATTTGGTGCACTTGTACAGTGGTAAAATATTTTCATTTTTGTGTTTTTGTGGTCACTTTTGGAAAAGTCAGTGACTTTTATAGTAAATAAATCACATTTAGGGAATTTTTGCTGCTTTCAAATGTCAAAATGGGGAATATTTGACTCGCACAGTATGTGAGGTTTCAGATATACCAAATGCTTTGAGTGCTGCTGCACTGAAATTCTTATTTAGTTTTACTTTGGGAGACATACTGAATAAATGTATTTCTTTTCATCATGAAAAAAAAATCCTGTTGCTGATGAATCAGGAAGGGTTAATCAAGCCTCGCTCTGCTGTCTCAGTGCGTCTCGGCTGGAGAATGGAACAAGCCACAAAAATAAACACATATATTTATAACGAAATAAACACTGGACCCACGGGGTACATTTGTGGGAGTTTTGTTGGCAGCGGTACTGAAAACCACTACCAGTCCTCATTTAAAACAATATTACTCACTTGCATGTTGTGAAAGTTACGCAGACACAGGGTGATTTTTTTTACTGCGATGTCAAAACAAGTAGAAATGGAAAACACTAAGGTCTTCTATTTACGTGACTATTTAGCCATTTAGCTGCTTCTTCTTCAGGGTGATTTACAATATGTGAGTTCACCGCTGTGTCATTAATTTCTCCAGAGAAATGCATACTATACCCCTACTGAATATATTACCCTGCAGGTCTGGTGAAAAATATAACCCTTTGTGTCACGAGATGTTGGTAACCAGGGCATTTATGAGTTTACTAAACAATTAACTAAAGGTTAATGAAAGATTAAAGAAATATTTCAGGTAGAGTGCAGACAGAGATTCCACTGGTTTTAGATTTTTTTAAAAAGAAGAAGAAGAGGAAGAAATATTCAGTAATGATGGCAGTGATGCATCAAAATCCTAATTTGATTGTGCCTTAACATCCTGTACTTAACTAAAAGTAGTAGTGGTAGTTCCAACCATAGACTCTGTGTATGGTTATGTATACTTAGACCCATGACTCACGCGCTGTTTGGTGAACTCCTGTTTGGATAGTTTTATTTTAGCCCTTTGGCCCCTGCTAGTGTTTAGGAAACAGTGGTGTGTAAAGTTATCAGCTAACTAGGAAGCTTGCTTAACAAGCCGTTTCCATAGACCCTGTGTACAGACAGGAGAGTGTGGTGTGCAAAAGTCTATATTATTACCAAAATAAATCATAGAGCTATTCATCACCTGCTCAAGTGTAGCAGAAGTAAGAACAATGTTTTTTGTCAGCTGAATGGGAATAAATAGAAACACTCTAATCTGTACTTAAGCTACTTTCTGCAGTTCCAGTGTTTCACTCCTTTCAAGCACGTGTTCAAAAAGCACAAAAACAAAAAACAACAAATGGATCGGATCTACTCTACGGAAACAAGCTGAAAAATATTCCTTAGAAGCCATCACAAACCATGAATGGTCCCGTCCTCCGAGATGGAATTATGTGAATGACTGAGAGTCTGGTGCGAAGTGGCTCTTGAGATGACTGGTTTTGGAAAAACCTCAGCACTGAAAGCAGTAACGCATGACAGAAAAAGACTTAGTTGCCAGTATTTTGATGCTGCGGTAGACAACGCTGGATGTTATATACTCACTTTGGTCAACGTCCCCGTGGAAGATGGCCATATATTTCAAACAGGAAGGGGTGCTGCTTGAAATCCTATTTCACACAATGAAAATCATCTTATTTAGAAATCTTTTCCTTTTAATTCTGCGTCCCCTTTTTCTCTTCCTCTTGCTGTATCTTTGTAACTATGAGTGAATTTCTGATGGAAAAATTATATTTTTAATATAATGAGGGGAAGTGATAATCAATCACAATAATCTGTATTGTCTATCTATCAGTTTATGTACAGACAGTAAGGGAGTATGCAAGTAGAAAAGGGAAGGTCGGAATCAGACATGAGCTGTTTTATATAAGCAGAAGTGGCTCCAGTGTTTAATTTAATTGTTCTGTGGCTTCTATTGAGCTGGAACTGATTATATCATATTTTCAGCACTTAAAGGGGGACAGGCATCTAAATCAATTAGTGTTTAGAGTCTCATAACCACAGATATGCATGGGGCACCACTATTGGAACTACTGGTGCTACTGACTGAGAATATCTTTTTACTCTGTAAACTTTAGCAGGTTTTCTTCTTCTTTTTTTGCTTTTTGATGCAGAAAACTAGTTTCATCTAGCGCTATTAGTACATTGCTGTATGATGTTAATTTTGAAAATTACCATTTTTTCCCCTCCAGTATTGATTTGGAGGTGTTACAGGGAGCAGCTTTTGTTACTTTCTCATGCTGGAAGCCAGTGGAGACATTTTTAGCTTGGCTCTGTATTCTAGCAATTAAAATGCCTCCAGAAATGAGCAGCTAGTCTCTGTTGTTTTTCTCTTCCTATTATAGACAGCAGCTAGTCCTTTCATCATCGCTAAACGCTATGCTTCTGCAAAGAGACACATTAATTGAGCCCACTCTGTTCCTCATACAAAAGGACATTCTCAAACATACCTACATTATTTATGCAGGATCATCAACCAGTAGGTTAAAGTCTAATTGGCTCTCAAGTTTTAGTCTGAAGAATAGTTTGGAGTGACCCTTTTGTAGTTTTTATGGTTAGAGTTTTAGTAGTTAATCTTTTTTTTTCTTTTCTTTTTTAGGTCCTATGTGTTACACAGACACAGCTGTTCTGT